TGTGCTTCTTCCGCTCGGAGTCACGAGGCGGCATATCAGAGAATGAGAGACAGCAGAGGCAGTGGGTGGTGCCAGCTCGGGTGAATTTCTCTTTCTCTCTTCCCCCCCCCCATTTGTCTCTCCCTGCCGAACACCGCGCAAATCCTATCTCGAGGTGTCGCTGGGTAGGGGATCCGGAGGAGTCTAACCCTATAAGTCCCACCGCCACCAGTTTCCGACCGTCCCACCGATTCGGTCGTTTGCACCACCAGCTCCGCCCAATGGCCAAGCGACGGCTGAACCCGGACGAGATTCGAGCGGCCATGGAGGCGGGACACCCCCCCAGCTCGGTCAACTACGAGACCGACAAAAAATGGCATGCCGGGCAGAATCGCTGGCTCGCCAAATGGAAGCAACGCCGGCTCCCCGACAGCGGGAGCAGCCGGCGGGACCACTGGGGCGATCGAAAGCAGCAGCATGCGCGGCTGCTGCGGGCGGCGGAGAATGAGTCATCTGCCTCCTTGAAGCGCCAGCGCAAGGCCGCAGCGACACCTGCCGTGACACATAGCGGCCGTGTGCACGCTGGCCCGTCACGGCTCAAGAGGCCAAAGCCGCCGCCAGAAGGTGGCAACCAGCAGGCGTACGAGCTCGCCATGGGCATGTATGGTATTGCTCGCGCGACACCCGGAGCAAGATGTCGAGGCGGACCAAGAGCGAAGACGCCGAGCGCAAGAGGGATGCGCGAGCGATCACGGCGATGACGACAAGTGCGAGCATTGGTTCGGCGACTACACAGAGCGCCGCTGCTGGAGCTGCCGGTGCCACCTCCAGCCAGACGGTTCCTGAAGCAGGCATGCCGGGGGTGGCTTTGCCTCCCATCCCTCCCCGCCCCACCCACCATCACCACGCGGCTTCCCCATGGTGCATGTGCATGTACATGTAGGGCCGCAGGCAGTCAAGGCCGCCAAGGAGCGAATGGAGAGGGAGCGCGAGCGGTCGCAGCGGCGGCGTGATGTGGCAAAGCTCAAAGTTAGACAAGCTATTATGAGGAACGCACGCGGATTCGGCGGCTCGATGAGCAGGTGCTCAAGGCCGTCGATGAGGCGCTGCGAGATTCTGACTATTGGCGGACCACTGGCTTCTTCAGCAGCGTGCGAGGGGATAACTACTATGACCATTGGCTGTGCCTCGCAATCAAGGAGTAGGCCGCTTCGCATGAGCCGGATGGCTCGCAGCAATGGGATGGCTGTCGGAGACTCCGTGCGGCTGCGCGATGCGGTTTGCCAGCACTGTCGACAGTCGGATCCGGTGGAGGATCAGTGAGTTACCCGCTTACTTGAGGAAAACAGCCAGGAGAAAAGGCCACACGCCGAAGGTCCCACACTAGTAAATGTGAAAATTTTCTTCGCGCGCCACGCCGCGACTACCCGGTATCTACCGGTAGTTCACGGGCGTGTGACCCCCCTGCGGCCACTAAGGTTGCCAAGCTCTGCTGCGCTCGCTCTACGCGGTTGTCATAAAGAGAGACCAGGCGTTGGCGGTCGGCCCCATGGCGAAAGGCAAGGCCAAGAAGAGGACGAGCTATCGCTACGAGCTGCAGCTCAACAGCGCCCATGGTGGCGGCGGTGGCGGAGGCGGCTCTAGCTTCGAGCCCTCATCGCAGCCCGCCGCCGCCGACTCGCCGCTGGCGCTCGAGCTGTGCGCCTTGGCGCCCGCCGTGCCGCGCGAGCGAGTAGCCGAGCTCGCTGCCGTGCACGGAGACGACATGGACACCCTCGTCAGCCGGCTGCTCGAGCTGTCCGCCTCTCTCGGCGCCGAGGGCACTCAGCCCAGCGGCATCAGCGAGGAGGAGTGCGACGACTCCTTCTTCCCCCTGCTTCCCTCGGAGCTCCCTCGGCCCGCTCCTCGCCTGCCTGACCTCTCCTAGCGCTTGTGAACCCCCCCTCTCGCCCTGCAAGAACTCTCCGCTTGGTCTGTGGTGCGGGCCCCTCCCAATATCCAACCCCGCTCTTCGCCCATCCCCCGAACTGCTCGGCCGGCGCTTTCCCCTCTGTTGGCCCAGCTTCCTTTTCTCCCTGTCCGAAATTTTCTTCCTAACCCCTAATTCAAG